TCTCTTGAGTGCATCATCCGAATGGGATAAGTTCCCAATAAAAAGAACATTTTATGAAACTGGTATTTATAGTACCTACCTATAATATTATTTTGCATTCAATGTGGTAAAGTAACATCAATATAATTATACAAAAAAAATCTCATCTCTTCTGATAATATTGATACAACCCTAATGCAACAGTGTTTTTTTTACCTACAGAAAATTTCGAAATAGCACAAAATAAACTGAAACATGCAGAAGATTTCAGTGATATAAATAATCGTGAAGATCACGTCATTTTGACGCCATTAGGATGTCGTCATTTTGACGTCATTAGGATGACGTCATTTTGACGACATGAAAATGACGTCATTCGTCTTTGACTTAGAAGGTCATATAAACGTCATTATGACGTCATTTTGGAAGTCATCCTGACGTGAGGTCTGACGTGATAATGACGTACAAATGACGTCAGCTTGTTACCTGGGAAGGCTAACCTTTCATGCCAGCGTGTAGAGAGTTTGGAACCGAAAGACTTTCACCAGCAATCCAGATCCATATAGAATTGAAGTTTGTGCTCGACTTGGAAACTCTGAACACACCCTCATCTCCACAACCTGCTCTTTCCATGTATCATATTTAGCACCAAAATTCCTTCCCGTTCCATGTGGCATTATAATTCGGCCGACTGGGAAGGTCTTCCGAACACTGCAAGGAGGACATCTTTCGATGAGTCCTGGTTCAGTAGAAACTGCTCTTGAGCTGTCGCTCCCAAACAGGCAGTCCAGTCCAGGCCCTGAGACTAGAGCAGAATATGTCAAGGCTGAAGGCATATGCAATGAGACAATTCGATCATCAAAGGATACACATAATGCCAGAATAAGATCAAAATTTGTTGAATGTCCTAACGGATCCCGTTCATTTTGGTCCTTCGTCGAAGCTATGGGAAGAAACTTCACTTCCAGCTCGTTTCCTCCTCTAACCAAGGAAAATTGAACACAAGCCACAACTGCCCAGGAGAAAGCCAACATTTTTGCGCATTCATTTGCTGAAAATTCCACTCTGGATTCATCGAGAAAACAACCTCCAAACATAACGCCAATTGACAGTCATATGCAAGAGATCATCTTTCGCCAACGTACTATAAGTAAGATTTCATTGGGCCTCAACACCAACAAAGCTTGTGGCCCCAACGGGATCCCACCGATTGTTCCCAAGAAATGTGCTCCCGAACTAACAAATGTTCTCTGCAAGTTGTTCAACTACTCTTACAAATTGGGGACATTTCGGTCTAACTGGAAAATTGCAAGAGTACAACCAGATCCTGAAAAAGGCAAAAAGACCCTACCTAGCAACTACAGACCGATCGCACTGCTATCTATTATTTCAAAGATCATGGTGAAAGCTATCAACATCGAGCTGATGAAATACCTGGAACATTCAGGTATTATCAACGATATGCAATATGGCTGTCGTCATCAGAGATGAACTGGTGACCTCGCTTACGTCTCACATATATGGCAGCAATCCATTGAGAAATATAGTGAAACCTTAGTCGTGGAACTTGATATCTCTGAAGTATTCGATCGAGTCTAGCACCACAGACTCCTTGCCAAGCTTCCATCCTATGGCTTGCCTCCCCAGCTATGTTCTATGCTAGCTAGTTTTCTCTCGAACAGGTCTCCCCATGTAGTGGTCGACGGAGTTTCATCTGACACTCCTACCATAAATGCTGGTGTTCCGCAAGGATCAATTCTAGCACCAACACTATTTCTACTCCATGTCAACGATTTGTTGGAAGCAACTTCATTGTGTAATACATCTACCATTGCATCGGTTGTATATCTTTTTTTCATTAAGCCATATTGATGTTCATGTAGTGAATTGTATTTATTAATGAAAATCATCAGGCGCTCCTCAACTATAATCTCTATTATTTTACCCAAAACAGGTATAATAGGAATTGGTCTATAATCATCGAGTGAATCTGGATCTCCTTTCTTGAACATAGGTGTTACTTTGCTCACCTTGAATATGTCTGGAAACACCCCTTCAGAGAAACAACGGTTTATGAGGATGATTCGGCTATTTAGATAAAATATGTCAAGGGAAGAATATTTTTTTCAATTTCTTAATCGCGATAACTACATCCTCATGTCTCACGACAAGCATGAAAAAAGAATATCTTGGTGTGGAGAGGCTTGAAAGACAATCTAATGTATCGGTTTTGTAACTTGGCAGATCGTTGATGATGTTTTCTGCTATATTAGAGAAAAATATGTTGAATTCGTTATGGCTGATTTTTCCGACCGCCTTGAACTCTATCATAATTAACTTACTTCCAGATGTCTTTGGATTTTTCATTATAATTTTCTATGAATTTGTTAAATGATTCTTTTTTAGCCAATGTTATTGCTTTTCCATAGATACGTTTTATATTTTTATAAACTTCCTCATCAACAGGATTTTTTGAAGAGATATTGACTGTTTGTAGTGATTGTAAAGTGCTCCCCATCTGCCGAAATTCATTGTTGAAGAAAGAAGTGGGTCTCTTCACCCGTTTATTGTTCTCTATTTGCCTCAGGACAAAGTGTTGGCAGACAAGAAAACTATAAGTATTATATAAAAAATCTGCTAGATAATTCAACGAAACATGGTCATCATGGAATGTCCGCCAATCCACAAGTTCGAGAGACTGTTTCATAGCATCTAATCCTCTATGATTTTTGTTCAGGCGCATCTGAAGTGTAATCTGGTATTGTTATGAATTGTGCATTGTGGTCAGAGATGCAGGGATTTTAGGTTCCAATATAACATTCCCCATTATTCAAGTTAGTCATGATATTATCAATGCAGCTGGAAGATGTAGGACTCACTCTAGTAGGAATGTTTATTTTGGGTTCAAGTCCAAAAGATTCGATTATATCTAACCAGGTCTTAGTGATATGATCTTTTCTGTTTATGTCAATGTTGAAATCGCCAATCACGATAATATTTTCATATTCAACTGAAAACATTGTTGAGAGTTCTTCGATGTTACCGAAGATCTGATCATGTTCTCTGGATAAAGAATATCTGTATGCAGTTATCAAAGCTGTTTTCTTCGTCAATAATTCAATTCCACAAAATTCTGCATGCTGTTCAAAGCAAAAAGCATCCAGAAGGAGTTGTTTACATGATATATTCTTGCGAACATGGATGGAAACACCACCATGTTGCATGGTGTATCTACAGAAAAAACTGATTAGGGTGAAATCATTCAGGTTAACAGTTTTCAAACAGTCCGTGTTGAGCCAGTGTTCAGTCAGACAAATGACATCACAAAATCCATCATCGAGGTGAAACTGTAACTGTTCGATTTCATTTGATAGGCACTGGATATTGAGATGATAAATCTTCAGAGGATTCCCCTGAAGAGTTGGATTTTCAGTATTCACATTAAAAAAGACGTGGGTTGAGATGGACCAACTGTTGATGACTTTTTGCTTTGGTCTAGAAACCATCAACCTTTTCGAAAATCAAACCTTACGAAAACTATCTTCCTGAGTCTGGATCATAAACTGGTTGTAGTTTATCAGGATTTACTCCAATCATAAAGGATTGTTTATCTGGGTGAAGGTCTGAAAATTCCAGCTTCTTCACTCTGACGTCTTGCGTATTCAGCTTAGTTTGTAGGTATTGGCTGATATTTTCTTGAGATGTATGGTCCGGTACTCTAGTGATGTATAATGAATTTTCTTCATTTTCAACCTTTCCTTGGGAATTTTGTCACATCTTCCTGTCCTTTGAGTAACCTACCTTGGTTTTCCTCTTCTCCTTTTTGGTTTCGTGAAGCCTTGGTTATCGGGGTTATAAAGTTCTCAAGAATCAAAATTTATAATTTTTTTCATTGTATTTAGTTGTTCTTGTTCTAATTCAGTAATAATTCTCGTTCATAAGATATCATTTCATACGTAAAAACATGTTAATTTGTGGAATGTGATTTATTCAACCAGATTTTCAAATATAAAAACATTATCCCTATTTTATTCATGATAATCGAATACTGATACAAGTGATTCTTTCCTGAATGCCTATTGATTCCCATTTTGATAGACCACGCTAGACACCCACAGACCGGTTTCGAGCTCTTTGACTCTTATCAGTGCAGGGTAGTCTGAAATTCGGGCAACCAGCCATTCCCGTATGGGAATTTCACTTTTGGAGTGATTCTTTACCTTCGGTTCTACCGGTCTTAGGACTGCTGGCTGGAGACTACCCTGCACTGATGAGAGTCAAAGAGCTCGGAACCGGTCTGTGGGTGTCTAGCGTGGCCTGGCTAAATTGAAATCAATAGGCATTCAGGAAAGAATCACTTGTATCAGTATTCGTTTATATGAGTCGATGCATAGGTTTCGAAAGGATGCAATTCAATGTTCTGCGTGGCATTACTCAGGAAAGTACTTTATTTCTCTCCCGAAATCTATCATTGTTGTTTATTTTATGAACATTGTGTGGAAATAACTTCGAGCTTTTTGTATCTATTCATCAAACCGATTCTGTTACGGCTCGACACGTGTTTCGTCAAATATGTCAGCATCTTCAGGTGATGTCAGCATCTTCAGGTGATGATTGAAACTGAATTGAATAGTTTGGTTAATAATGAAACAGTGTGGTGTGATGCTTGTAATTATCATAGGACCTGAGCAATCGGACTACATAGGCCTGTTTGTTCGTGCTTGCTCTACCTGCTGAACTTGATTTTTTTCTATGACTTCCTCTGTTTACATAATGTCATGAATAGATGAAACTATGGAGAAAGAATCGATTCTTGCAAGTTCAGCCATACCAACGAACAGGCCTACCATATGAGTTAGGCCAATCAATGCAAGGTTATTTTATTGTACGAATATTCTACTTGAAGAAGCAACACTGTGATTGTGAAACCTGTCGTGTTATCATGAATTTTGTGTAAATAGTTTATGAAGGTATTCATATTTACTATGGATTTCTATCGAAAAAGTGAACTGGTTACTCACTGATATGGCATTAGGATATCTGAGACCATCTCTGTCTCTTTGTACTTGGCCAACAGTAAGCGGTTGGCCACGATACACACGTTGTTGACGGTCAGTTTCGAATTCTTCAGCAGGTGGTAGAGTTTCATCAGATTCTTCATAAAGTTGTTGTTGTTGCTGTTGTTGTTTTTTCTGTAAAAATTATAGCGATGAGGGTTATCATAATAATGATGATGAAAAACGGTCATTATATGGGGTTAAACAATATAATATCTTGCACACTAGAGAAAAAAATTAACAAATGGACAAACCGCAGAGCCATTGGCTGTCCGCGGTGTAGGTGATTTATAGAATACTGATTTCCTATGGGATTACGTAATCATATAAGACTGAGGTTATAAGAATATCAATAAATTTTTGTGAGAAGAGAACTACTCATATCGGGAAAAAGTTGATGATCAGTTGAATGAGGATGTGGTGAGAGCTATCAAATTGAAGATCAATTACTGTCTGTAGGTTGAGCGAGCAGGTGGTACATTCATTTCACTCGAATATTCAGAATTTTCTCTCCTAGTTTCTGAAAAATGGAAATTTGAGTGATATTTCGATATATGTGTTGTAGGACAAATCAGATGATTTGCCCTGAAATGTCACTGCGTTTAACGAATGGTATATCGTTCATTATTAACAGCAAAAATATTGACATTGAGTTTCACGATACCCAAATAACAATTTGCTTCCACGCATGTTTTCGAAAACTTCATAGAGTAGAAGAAGTTTTTTTCGTTTCGTAGAACCAATGCTTTATATAATATGTCAAAAAATCAATGAGAATTATCCAATTCTATAGTGTAGAACGTCAACCAATTGCAAGCGGTACCTAGTGTGATGAATTGATGATATATACTTTTATTTTGTGGTTTTCAAATGTATTGGTGGGGGCAATTTTCAATTTATGTGAGGTGAATGAGGTACCAAAATGTTAATGTTGCTATTGATGAACATATACAAAGTATGTGCTAGTTGTGCTACCGTTGCATTCCAAATATTATGACAGTCAGTTTTAGATGGTTGTCAGAAGCAAAACATTTTTTCATCATTAGGATGGTACTTTGATTTCATTCAAAGCAGTTTTTATATTTTCTGATCATCTTGTTGAATAAGCAAATAATTGTCTGTATACTGAAACTTGGGAAACCCAGTATCTACATGAATTGAGAATTCAAAAATTGCGATATTCCGTCTTATTGAGCCACCATAAATATTTATAATGAATGATGTCCTTGGGATGTCACCAAAATACCTTCTCCCTAAGTTTTTCAATGGCCTTCTCATGGACACAACAAAACATTTTCAGAGTGTCTTGAGCACATTAAATCGTTGTATATAAACCATATTTGAGGTATATTTCTGGAGCCTTTTGTTAAAATAACATTTTGCATTTGGATTCCATTCCCCTTGGAGGAAAAAATGCTTCAAAATAGATTGAACATCAAAATAATTTCTTGATATATGAAATCACCTTCATAATCGGTTCCTGAGTAGTGCTTGCTACACACAGACATATACTTGGAAACAGGTTTCCCAATTTTTCAAATGGTCTGCCACACTGCATAATTTTCAATCTGCAAGGAAGCTGTGTATTGATACATTTGTAATTTTATATTGATTGCACTGAGACACCAAACAACAAGAATTGAAGAAAAACGAAATCGGAAACAAATCGAAATTCATCGTATTGTGAAGTAAGCATCAGACGTTGTGGTGAGGCGAACAAAGAAATGGCACAGAAGAACAAAAACAATACTCCCAATATCTTTCAGCGACCTCTTTGGGGAGTGCATATTATATCTGTGTCCATAAAGTCACCCCCCCTCCCCTGGTTTTACTATTGAACGGATGGGATTTTTTTTTTCAATTTTTTTTTGCTTCAATGGTAGTTTCAGTGCTACATATTGTTCCAAAAAAAATTATGTTTCCTCGAAAATGGCGCCTGGGCGCCATTTTGGAAGATTTTTTTGAATGGAGTCGGGGGTCGAAAGATACCTCGATTGGAAGGTCTTCCGATTCTCCATACAACCTCAGAATCTCAGACGAAAATATTCATCCAAAACAAAATGGCGGATGATAACGTTTGAAATCTCACACCAGAATTCTTTCGACTAGATGGCTATTAAAGTGCTCGCATGTGATCTTCAAATCTCTATTGGCGAATAGAAGAGTTCTCTATCTATGAAGATATCAATAGGAAGCCATTTTGAAGAGAATAACATGGTAGTCAATTATTACCTTTGCTCGTTGTCTTTCCAAATTCTGCAAAGTTTTAGAAATATTTATTCAAAATAAAGAACAATGTTTATTCCACGTGACTACCATGTTATTCTCTTCAAAATGGCTTCCTATTGATATCTTCATAGATAGAGAACTCTTCTGTACGCCAATAGAGATTTGAAGATCACATGCGAGCACTTTGATAGCCATCTAGTCGAAAGAATTCTGGTGTGAGATTTCAAACGTTATCATCCGCCATTTTGTTTTAGATGAATATTTTCGTCTGAGATCCTGAGGTTGTATAGAGAATCGAAAGACCTTTCAATCGAGGTATCTTTCGACCCCCCACTCCGCGCCCAGGCGCCATTTTGAGGAATACATTTTTTTTTAACAATATGTGGCACTGAAACTTCCATTGGAACAGGAAGAAATTGAAAAAAAAAATCCCATCCGTTCTAAAGTTAACCAGGGGGGGGGGTGACTTTATGGACACAGTGTAAGTCTCAAAAAACAACCTCATGGCAACATTTTCAAAACACCCCAGAACATGCCAGCGATACTTCCTCAGTTGGCAAACAAAGAGATGCCACTGAAGAACAAAAACAAAACTTCCAATATCCTATGAAGACCTGTTGGTATGTTTGAGAATTTTGTGAAAATCTTATCGTTTGTGAAATTTTTCCATTTGCCATGAATTTCCATCAAGTACCGGCCCAGTCAATTCAAAAAAAGTGATCAAAATGTCGAAATACTCAAGTAAGTGAGAAAGAAACATAGAACCACATAATTACACCAAGGTACGTGTTTCTATTAGCCAAAACTCCGTATCATAATGGAAAGTACGTGTTTTCATTTGTCAAAATCTGTTTCATCATAAGATTCCGTGTCGAAATGAACATGAGATATCGATCAATTGGTAAAAGATATTCAATTCGCGTTCTGCAATGCGGGAGTAGAAAAGCAGGTAATTCAAGATCAATCAGGATAACAATATTTACTCAACTCTGACTACTTCTGACTGAGGATGATAACAAGGAAACCATTCTCGAGAATCATTTAGAATGTTTCTGTTGAACGAAAGGAAACTCACAAATAAAAGTAACATTTTTGGGGCCATTTCTGTACCCATATTCTTTCAGGTAAGTCAATTAGGTAATCTTACAAGTATCGCAGATATATTGGTGTAACGTCATAAAATAGGAATTTATATAGATTCATCGCTAAAAATAATATTTGTTCTATCGAATAATTGTTTTGGTATTTAGAAAAAGCCTTCAAAGCTGAGAGTAGATTTGAATAATGAAGAACCCTCGAGGATATACGAGGCGATTTAGTTTCAAGTTCTTCATCTCCAGGAATCTGTTTTGTTTTGACTGATGTTCATTCAGAATATTCACAAATATCGTCAAATCTCAATAATTTCAATTGTATTTCTGAGTGGTATGAATTTTCAAGTGCTTCATTCTGCCTCTCATATTATTGCATGTATAATGATTTCTCCAAAGTACACACCATTTGAAGGTAGATACTCAACTTGGAAGTGTCCTAACTTCATCAAGATTTCTATTTCTGTGACGTTACCGATTCCACTCTTATACACTCAGTTCCAAAAAAACTGACGCACTTGATATTTGACCTATTTTCAAAAAAAAAAATTAGTAGGCGATTTTTATTTATTTTTTACTTGTTGGTAGGTAATGCATTTGTCTTGAAAATGAATGAAGAGGTGAAAATTTTCTCAAAGTTCCCTTGATGGTGGTGGAATAACTCGAACCATGATTTATTCTTGATTTTTGACTCACCCTGTGTGTTAATCGAGTAATGGCATAGGAAGTGCTTACACCCTATACGAAAGAGGCTTCTTTTGCGAGCATTTTGTTTTTTTATTCATTGATTTATCTCTGAAGTTTTCCGAATTACAGCTTTTCTTGCTGAATCCTTGCAGATTACCAACTTTCTGAATTTATCGAGAAACAATTTTCTAATGAAATGAACTGATACCAATAATTTCAAGGAACATTTTTATTAAACACAAAATTATAAATTAGGATGACTGCTTAATACCGTGTATTGCCACCTCCAGCAACTCTAAGAACTTTTAATCTACGAGGCATACTGGAAATCAAGTTGCTCATCGTTTCCATTGGTATACGATCCCATTCTTCCACTAATGCATCTGCCATTTCTGCGAGACTTTCTCGGAGACCTCTCGCGAGAACGTACCCTTCTCCCTAACTCATCCCACAAATAATAATAATAATAATAATAATATCGTTTCTTTTTGCATACATCAGAAAGAAGTTTCCACAAAAAATTTGATGAATTGAACTTATGCAAAAAAACAGCTGAAAACAATTTAGAAAAGATCTAGTTCAGCCCCTTCAAATATTATTCCAGAAAAAAATGTATACGTTCGCTTTGTTACAAAAGAGAAAACAAATCAAGAACAGTTAAGAATATCTTCAGTTTTTCATCTATGCATAAAACGATATTTTAATAAATTCAGTTATATTGGGTGATACAAAAGAGAGAGAGTTATCTGAATATTTATATATTATGTACATACATTATTATAATCTTTATTAGCTTTAAGACAATTCATGAAAAATTCAAGGCACATTAAGCAATTGTTTTTTAAGTTTCGATTTGAAAACAGATACTTTGACGGATTTCGATGGCACCGACAATTGGTTATATAGAGAGTATATATTAAAAGAAAAACATCTACGAAAAAATGTTCTATAGGATTCATATCGGGGCTCCTCGCAGGCGATTGTAATGTGGTAATAAAAGTAGCTTCTAAGAAGTTTCGCACTATTGCTGCGGTGTGTGGTCGGGCATTATCCTGCATCAATATAAAATTATTGCCCACAAACTCTGCATAAGGTAAGACATACTGCTCTAGAATGTCAATGTTGATT